TTTATTTATTTATTTATTTATTTATTTGAGGACTCCTGCCATCAAGATTTGGTGTGCCATCAGTGAGATTTTGTCAGTCTAATAACTTTGCTAATACAAAGCTTATTTCTTCAATTAGAATTAATGTATGATATACCAAAAAATCTCTTTTTCTTTTTGTCAAGTAACTGGGCCTGCCAGGCTCTACTCCTTGGTTTTCAGGCCAAGACACATAATAAGGCTCCTGTTAAATATTATCTCCTTGTGCCCTGCCAGGCATACTAAGTTCAGGGGCCAGGACTGTAACATTGAATAGAAGCCTGCATGGTGCGGTGCTGTCTATAGACAGCAGTAGAAAGGCCTCTGTCATTCATTTTCTGACTAATCAGCCTAGAAAATGTTGAGGGAGAGTCTCGCTTGGCCAAGGCAAGGTGTGATATAGTGATGCTCAGTTGCATCCTTCAATTCTCTCAAGTGCAAATGACAAGGGAAAGGAGCAAGCTAAGGAGTTCTAGGCAGTACGAAATGAAGAAATTTTAAAATTACAAAAATTATATGGAAACCTATTTATTATCTTGTAACCAAGTTAAAAATTAAAGTATTTTTAAAAATTGTTTAAATGTTCTTGTACACCTTTCAACAGAAGCCGTACTGTTTTAGTATAAAGGAAGGGAATGCAGCATACTATTGTGTGGGCTAGCCAAACCATTCCCTGCTTAACCTAGATTTGCAAAATGTCTAGTTGTTGTGAAGAACAAGGCAGTTTTTACCTGACTCTAAGGCACAAAATGACAGTGATCCTTGGTTTTCTACAGGAGAAGTTAGAGGAATGGCCTTCAGGTATTCTGCCTTTACCAGAAGCCTTCTAGCAGAGTGCATTATGTGTGCCTTTGACAGGAATATCAAGTTAGTTAAATTCTCTTCCCTCTTACAGGTGCTGTGATAAACGACTTTGGACAAAAATTGACTTGAGTAGGTGTAAGGCCATCGTACCCCAAGCTCTCAGTGGCATCATCAAGCGGCAGCCAGTAAGCCTCGACCTTAGTTGGACTAACATCTCCAAAAAGCAGCTGACGTGGTTGGTCAATAGGCTGCCAGGTAGGTGAGCAGCCAGACCTAGAGGACCAGCAGGGAACATTAGGCTATAGTCAGCATTGCTTAGAACTGATCCAGTGGAGTGTGAGACAGTAGTCCTGTACCATAACTGTCTTTCTGAATAATAAGAGATTTATTTAACCTAGGGCCACTGTGACTGCCAGTCTGTAAGGCATTGCTGTATTGGTGACTGCACTAGACACAAAATGATTGGGTTGCTGCTGCCAGCCCTGCACATTTCCTGAGCATAGAAGAAGAAATTTAAGTCAGATTTTTGCCTCCATCAGCCCCCAGTTAGCTCTTCAGCATCTTGGGGTCCCAGAAGGACAAGCCACACAGCATCTGTTGCTCTAGTAGAAACTAAGTAGTTGGGTCTTTATTATTTTTTTTTTTTAAGCGTATATGAATGTGGGTTAGAGTACATTGTCGAACCCCAGAGCTTGCATATGATTTGGCTAGTCTTGATATACAGTTTATAGAGATCCTATCTCTTTTCAATGCTGTAATTACTAGCAAGCTACCATGTCTGCCTGGCATTTATGTGGTTTCTGGGGATATGAATTCTGGTCTTGTTTGAGTGGTAACTACTTTTAATTGCTTAGCTATTTCCCTCACCACATCCCACCCAGCAGTTGTTTTTTGTTTGTTTTGTTTTGAGATAGTCTCACTTTGTGTCCTTAAACTATGCAGAACTCAGAGATCAGCCTGCCTATGCCTTCTAAGTGCTGGGATTATCACACGCAGCTCCAGCAATTGTTACTTTGTTTGTTTTGGGGTGTTTTATTTTGTTTTTTGTTTGTTTGCTTGCTTGTTTGTTTTGTTTTGTTTTTCCCCTTTCAAGACAGGGTTTCTCTGTGTAGCCCTGGCTATCCTGGAACTCACT